TAACTTGCATGAGCTTGAAAGAATTTTGCTGCCAAATATTTTTGGATTATGTACAGACAGGGTCGGTCCTCCGACGTTTCTCGACAGGGGACAGAAGGGACAGAACACAAGGCGCATGAGCGAACACGTGTCTGCGACTTGTTGCATGCGCATATGAGACGCTTAAACTTAATATGTTGCAGATATTTTATATGTGTTAGTAATCAAAGTATACCCGATGATTCGGAGACATCAGCCTTGTCATCAGGTTTTTATTATTTATTTTATTGCTTTGTGATATATATCTATATATAGTATTCCATTTTTTAGTTAACAGAATGCAATTTTTCCACATTTAAACAGGAAGCAAAATTTTGTAATAAAACTAATTGTAAGTGTATATAAGCGTAGTACAATCATGGCTGTTTAATGTATATAGGTATATATACTATCACATCTGCGTATGAAAATTTTTCTCTCAATTTACATAAAATTACATATAAAAATTAGGAGTACTTTTCTACATGATAATTATTTTTTACATCTTATCTATCTTCCAAAAAAATTTCGATAACTGATTTAAAAAAAATGCGTATTTAAGAAAGACGTCGCATTTATTTTATCAACACATTATTCAACGCTAATGTATGTGTGCATATTTATGAGGAAAACTTGTTTGCGGGTCAATTTTCGAATCTGTCATGATATTTGAAAAATACGCATTTAAAGAAATATATTATTTGTTAGGATCTGTCACGTTATTTTAAGTCGAAGCGACGCGTGTTTCTCGACGCAAACACTCTCGCGGGTTACGCTCGAATGGATGCGAGAGTATGTCGCCGCGTATTGTAACGTATACGCGTATGCACGCGTGACCGAAGTCGTGGCACGGATCGCGGGGCAGGAGTGTTGTTCCCAAATTTGGAAATTCAGTACATTCCTGCGTCGTGACACGGCCGCATAACCGAGGACGAAGGCAAACGGAGATTCCTGTGGAGAGTTGCCATTATTTTCTTCTCGGAATCTTTACGCCCCGGCATAAACGCTGTGGCGAAACCAGTCGTGTCCCTCGACAAAACGGCCATTACGCCCAGTTAAAAATATTTTAAACTGTCATTAGCCGCAATTACAATTTACGTTTTATGCAGCTACGCGCCTTACCGTAAACCACTGTCATCGTATATATGCAATTAGTCGGCTGCATATCGAAAAACGACTAACGCGAGGAGGATCACGCTCGCGCAATATATTTCTGCTATGCGCGCGGAATATTTCTAATGGAAAATCCACGGATTTAAAGTTTTCTGTATAAATTTTGTGTACACGAATCGTCGTCGATAACAGTTTACGAATATTATTCAAGAATCCGAATACGCGCATAAAACATACATGAAATATACGAAAATAATACCCGCGGTAGACGTGTAGATATAGACTTAAATAAGGATCTGAGATATAGCTAAGAAATAAAATGCAATTTTAATTTGTTTTCTCTCTTAGCATTTTTTTAAATTCTTGATCGAGAAATAATTCAGCTTGCAATTCTTTCACGAACGCTCGTAAGCGTCGTGTCGCATTTTTTCGCGCTGAAGATTACGGAAAATTTAACGTCCTAGATAGATGTGAAAATCGTGTGTGCGATTACCGATCTAGAAATCGGCTCGATCAATTTCCGATAGACACTCGTGATCGCGTCGCGCCTCGTCGCGCGTACGCAAAGCAGATCGGCGCGATGTTTAAGCGCGCCTCACGCTTTCAACCTCGTTCCAGATGCGCAACATGCATTCCTAGACGATAAATCCCCGTCGCCGCGCGTTTCTTCATTATCGGACCAGTAACTTCGCCAGCATCGCGTTTCGCACGTCGCCTCATTTTCTCCTTTCAGCCGCGCGATCGGTCAATCGATCGATCGCACCTCGTTCAGGTGGCCTCGCCGCGCGTTGTCTGCAAGGCAAGAGTGTGAAAACGCGTGAACGAATATCACGGTACGCGTGCGCGTTCGTTAATGTATAAAGTTGGAGCAAGACCAACAATAAGTCGGTCAGGATGAACAATCGCGAACGAACATTACAAAAATATATTTAAAAAAGTAGAACTTTTTTTATATATCGACGATAAACGGACTGTATTCGTCGATATACAAATTTAGTGTCTCTTCGTGTATTTGCGATACCATTTATACATTCATCGAAGCAAGTTGATTTATCCGTGCTTGTTCGCGCTCTTCTCTTACAAAGTGTGGATCCGGCTTTACTCGCTCGCAGTACCCTTGGGGCAGAGCCAGGTAGCCGAAGAGACACCCACGCGAGCCACATGCCCACGCATAACGCGTGCGCCCGCATTATTCAGGGCCGTGTTTCACCTCAGCCCCGACGAGAGGACCAGAGGACACTGCCACACCTGTCGAGGCACGCTCTCGCTCTCGCAGATTCTCTCCTCCCCGGAATACTCTTTCAAAACTCTCACGGTTCTCGCGGGAGAGACTAGTCTGGGGACTAATATTTAAAACACCCTTGTATGACTGTTTTTTCTTCCTCTTATTCTCTTTTCCGTACGATAATAACACAAACAGATGGCTATTAGAAGATATAAACTATACTTAACTTTGAAGATTCCTGCATTAAAATCTTAAAGTTAAAAATCAGTTAGAAATCTTAAATTCGTTACTATGGACAGGGATTTCTTTTCTTACAGAAAGGTAAGAAAAAAGTGGCAAAGAACAGAATGGAGAAAAGGGATGAATGAGTTCATTCAGAATTGTTTGACACGATCGTTTTATGGCTTTTACGCTATCAGCATGTATTCTAACCTGAATAATATATCTTTAGTCACGTATTTGGGATATTTCCTCCGGTATTAGCTGCTAGGGAGAGTTTTTATCTTTTTCCAAAAATTTTTGGTTGTATGGTCGTTAAGGAATTGAGTCAAGAAATTGTTATATCGAGATATAAGATGCAACGTCTCTCTTAAAATAAATTTTATTCTGATTTAATTTTATTTTATATATCGTTGATTATATCTACATTAATACTAATAATATCATATATATATATATATATTAAATACACTAATAATAATAATAATAAAAATATATAGATATCAGTTTGTTTGCATTTTCAGCATTTCTTCACAATTATAATATTAATTTGCAGATTTTTCTAACATTATAGATAAATTACTTTTGAAAAGTGCAGGAATTTAATTCGTAACATCCGGATATTAGATAATTTCCAATATTAAATAATAATACATTCTTCAATGTAAATTGGTGGTTGTACATGTCAAATTACTAGTGACGCTATTGATAGTAATCGCTATTTAGAATTTTAAGGAACTCCTCTTTTACGTATCTATGCGTGAGCAACAACGTCGTTTGAAGTTCTTATCTCAAATTCGAGTGGATTAAGAGAGGAACGATTCAGGAATTTGATGTTGGTCGGAGTGGGAAAATGAGAAATACCGTTCGTTGCCAGAGCACCTACGCTTTAACGTGAACGTAAATCTTAATTTCGGCGATATTATTGATGATGCATTGTTTATCCGCACGAATAATTAAATTACTCTGCCATGTGTACAGAATACTCCAGATTTTGAATCGATCTCATCTTTCGTTCCTTGTGTTAATTTTTACAATTAATTAAGATTAACGAATAGATAAATAAGTTCAGCACAAATCGTCGATTTTCTGATTCAAGTATTTTCATTACAAACTTGTTCAAATGTCTCAAATTAAGTAAATTAAAGGAAAAGAATGATTCCACTTACCTATATATTCATTTACAATTCCGGAGTTTATGAAAAGTTCTTGGAAAGTTGTTAATTTCAGTTTGAGAATTGTTTTTTTTTTTTCTTGAAGTGAATTGCTTAGTTTTTTTTAATATTAATATTTTAATATTAATTCAGAAATTCCTAAATAAAAAATTCTTGCTAGGTTTTGATTATCTTGTGTATATATTGTGTATAATGATCCTTGTTAATAACATTGTCACGACTTTCGTCTCACATGCTATTTATTATCTCGTACGGAGTTATCGTCGTCGTTCGGGAAGAGTTACAGAAATATACCTTTTAGTGACACCAACAGGCTCGGCCAATGCGACATTAAATGTCATTCCATATATTCGCGTCAAGAGATTACGCCTCGCAAGATGTATGGAATGCATATCCGCGCAAAAACATGCCCACGTGGCGAATTTACGACTTTTTTTCCAGCTTACTTAGCCACGCGAGGAATATCCACTTGGATACGAATGGTTTTCTTAATTAAATAACGCGAGTTTGAATTCTTTAAAGCTTGCAAATATTGGACCTTTTACGATTATTCCGGACACTTTCGTCATAAATAACGCGCGTGTGCGAGTGTAGACAACTATTTGAGTACTTTATTGATTGTATTTAAGTATTTAGTGGTATTATAAAAATTTACTGTACGCTCGAATCACTTGAATCACGTGAACGTCAACCTGTATTATCACAATTTATTAAATACTCGGCGCATTTTATTGAATTTCTCGATTCTTTTACTTGCCGTGAGATTAACAAAGAGGAAGCTAAGCGTGTCCAGAATTTAATGTATATTTTACCATGACTCTGATTTCTGTCTCCTAACGTTATACACAGCACGTTTCTACTTTCCATTGCCATTAGACTGCGGTTTGCGTCATTCACGAAAAGACTTCGTGTAGGCGTTCTTTCGTAAACTGTCGTGAGCGACAGGAATATTACTGTAATCTGTTTTGCGAGCCTATTGTTTCCTCTGTACGCAATGCACAGGTATGTACGCGACGGATTGCGATCTAGGAATCTCATGCACGCAGCAGGAAATGCATCTTATCCTTACGAACGTGCATGCCACGATAATCGAACTCGAATAAGAAAATTGCTGGATCGCGTTTCGATTCTTCCTTTACCGAGGTCATATAAATTGACAATTAATTAATAGAGAATAATGTTGACATTATCGTGTAAGATACCGATAAATTAATAGAGACTCGTGATAATTAAAATAAATTAAGAATAAATTATATAGCCAAATTAATAAAGATAATTTAATGATGCTTGACTAGGTTATCCAAGCACACATGCGCATTATTAATCTTTTTGAAAAACAATTTCGTCTCATTCCGTTCTTATCGTTTAATATATAAACGATTTATCTTGCTCGAGAAACATTTCGTCGAGTTTTTCTGAATGAAAACCACATATTCGTGCCATGTTTCCGTGACTATGATTGTACATCGGCAACGTTAATGAAGTGCAAATTCGTAACTTTGTTTTCCCGTCGTAAACGTATGCCTCGTGAATGAGTCCGATGAGGTATTCATCGATAACTGGCTAGTGAATGATCGTGCGCCGTACCTACTCTTATCGGCATGGCACAAATGAACCTGTTGTTATTAGCCGTTATCACTTCTTCTAGTCGTGAACCTATATTAGAAGCTCGTTAAAGTCCTCACCTTGAAATCCTCGTCGTTAAATTTCTTCTACCTTTGAAGACCCTTGTCAATTAACGTTGACATTTGAATGATAATTTGACGCATCCTGTGTTACGCATTTTTTTACAGGTTACGTATCAGATAACCTCTTCAATTTCGTGTCTGAAGTGGATTCTGTGTAACGTTTTCTAATTTTTTAATTTTATTACAATCACACATAATGTAATTGGTGAATTTTATTGAGTCTGTTTTTGCTGTTTTTTAGTTTTACACAAAATTTATTCAACGATTTTTTTTTATTTTGTAAAAGTTTTTTTTTCGTTTTAATTTCATATCTTTTTCTATCCTATTGTTTAAATTTTATAAATTTTATATGTATATTTTATTTTTATAATAACAATTTTTATAACAACTAACCAATTAATTTTGATTTAATATTTTTAATTACTCAATTATCGCGATGCATTTCCACTTTAAGTAAAGTATCGATATTTCTTATTTCGATGTTTGTTAGATCTAACGTGAACGATTGTCGGCGTAGCGCGACACAGAACCGGAGAGGAAACGAGCTCTTTTCGATGGAATTGAAAGAACGGCATGCGGCTCGTCCTTGATCTATGGCTGAAGTTTCAGCTTAATTACGTCAACAACGCGCGCACGTTCGCGAGCCGTTTTTCTGTCCCGCTATCTCGAATCGGTATTTGCGCGAATTGTCCGTTGAATATTTATCACATGTGTATATAATGCTTGTGTCTGATTTACACCGCCATCTCATTGATTATAACGCAGTACAAAGTGCAATTGTTGAATCACCGTTCTCCTTTCTCGATAGATTGACAGTGGATCTTTCGACAAATTTAGAATTATTTTTATCACGCTTTGCGTTTTCATCACGGAAAGTGAAATATACGTTATACAAATCTATAGATTACGGAAATAGAACACAGCAGGAAAAGTTACGAGGAAATAAACGTTACAAGAGTTCAAAGAATGAAAAAAATAAAAAAAATACTGAATAATTCTGCAATTTTAACACAGTCTAACTAAATTACAATATTTCGAGCATTAAGTAAGTTCATGAAGATGTGAGTATTATACATGAGATCGATTTTAATGAAGAGACTTAAGAATATTGTCAAGATGTAATATGATGAAACAAAGAAAATAAATATTTTTGAAACTAAAATTTCGACCAATTGCGAACATTTCGCGAATTTCCAGAAATAAAATGGCTGCGCGTTTGTTCTCGTAGTCACACGCAAAATTATATACACGCGTGTCGTGCGAGAAAGAATGCTCTTTGGCCTTGGGTGATCGTTAGCAACGCGCCATCAGATTTCGCGGTAATCTGCCGTAGAACAAACACGTTCGTCGGGCTTGCACAATTTCGGTCGCGAATTGGAGCGTCCGTCATGGATCACCTAATGACGGAGTGGCTCTCGTCATCGCGCAAATATCCAAGAAGCTGAGAGGGAGGGAGGGAAGGAGAGGGAGTGAAGCGGGGTAACGGAGGTGGTGCAGGAGGAGGAGGAGGAGGAGGAGGAGGAGGAGATAGGATACGGTTAGGCGTTGATGTTTCTGGGAATTTCTTTTTATTGCGTGCGCGAGATAAAAAGGAAGAAAAGGAACGGCGTGCCGAGACTCGCTCGGATGACGGCTGGCCTCTGGAATTCCAGCGTGCAGGAAATCACGCTGAAGCGTCTGTTTACCGGCCGCTGTTGCGCAATTTTTGTTTGCAAGTCGGCGAAAAGCGTGCGAGCGCGCGCGCGCGCGCGTGCCGACGATGACGATGAATTCAAATAATCGCGATTACCATTGGAATTTCGACTGAATTCACGGATTCCTCCAACGTCAATGACCACAACCTATAACCCTTGAATTAATTGTCCGCGGGAGAAAGGAGGAGGCTGACTGTCCGAGGGAGTTCTTAATGATCCTGTTCTGAATACAATGTGAAAAATGTGACTTATTGACATTAAAGACTATACAAAATTAATTTTTAATTTTATGATCAAAATTTGGTAGAGAAATTTTTTTGGAGGAAAGAAAGAATGCGTTTATTGACACCCGCCACGCACATATCTATTTCACGTTTAACAATACCGCTTTGTGCTTATTCATTCGATCGGATGTTAAAAAAAACGAATTCGAAATTTCGATCGAAAATCGAGTTTATTCGTAAAATTTTTTATTGTCAATGGCATAGAGAACTTTTGATATTTTTTAATAAAGGGTACTCTTCCTCTTTCCGGGACAATCGCGTCTTTGTCAAAGTGGGAGCTCTATTGACCTCCGGTGTTAGTAGCCGGTTTATGTAATTGGGCTTTAAATAACGATACATTACGGGTACGAAGAAAATGAAACAAGCGCGCGCGCGCGGTGTAATCGGATGTCGCTCACGCAACTGGCAAAGTACGGTATGTGGATTCCGCCGCGAGTCGGAATGTTAAACAATATGTCCTGAAGTATCTGATTTCGATTTCTGCGGACGTGGCCTGACAGCTTATGGCGCGGAGCTCGCGTTCATCCTTCCCGCGGTTCTCCCGCTCGAATAACTCGTCCGATACTGTCCGCTATTAATAGCTGCACCAATTAGTGCGGATAGAGACGCATATGTTGATTAAAGAGCAAATTTCACACTTGGCACTTAATCCTTCATTGAATTAATAGATAAATAGAAACGTATAGGGTATAGACACAAGCTAAATAAATATTGAAGATATAATTAGTAACTGTTTGTTTTTTCATTATTATTTCAGAAGACGCGTTAATCACTTTATCAAAATAATAAAAAAAATCACGAATCTCTCTTTTAAATTCGAAATTTTTACGTATTCTCAACAATTTCTCTTCTTATCGGTGTCAAAATCGGCGAAGCGTCAATTGGAGCGATCTCTTATATCGAATTTTTCAGAGCAGCGTTATCGTCGCTGGAAATACGAGTCTATGTACATACACGAATGAGTCAGAATCGACACGCGACGACATACGGCTTTTACGAGCGATCCCCTCTTAGATCGTTAAACGCACGGATATATCACGCGCGCGTGAGACAATTCGAATAAAGGCGTGCATCACGCAAAAATACCGCAGCTAGAGTTACGAGATTCCACGGGAATCACCTTCTTCTTTCTCTCCGTCGCGTCGCACTTCGACGTAAATGATCTCGTCATACCTATGTAATTGTCGGTTCTGCAGCGTGTGTCTGTGAGAAGACTGTTCTCTACGTAAAAAAATCTTGTGAAAAAAGAACTTTGAATCATTCACGCGCGATTGCGAACGATTCACGAATGTCATCGTTGACGAAATTCTTTTAACAGCAATTGCTGGTCATTTCGCGTTGGCCAATATTATGCCCTTGGTTTCTCCATGTTATAGTCAATTGATCTCGTATATTCGGCGTGCTTTCTTAAGAAGGCGCTTCGCAAAAACTCTCGTCTCACAGACATACTTTTAATGGTAGACGCTCCGGTCGCCGAGGGGGAGGAGGCGGAGGGTTTATGCCTCATTACACGGTTTCAGGGACAATTTCCTTAATTCCCTTTCCGCCGCGTGATTCACGGTCTCGGCGTGCCCTTGGCCTTACCGCGATTCTGTCCTACTGTAACGACAGAGAGACAGAGGGGAAAGGAGAGAAAGACGAGAGAGAGAGAGAGAGGAAAAAAGTCAGAAGCGTATCTCGCGAGGGACGCAGGAGCGGCTTGACGAAAGAGGGAGAAGTGCGAGGAGGGAGGGAAGGATAAATGAAACGCTGAACGCGTGCGCTACGCGTCGACACGGCTACGGTATGCCAAGGTTAAAGCGACTTACGGCAAAGTTTTAACGAGTCAACCCGAACGCGCCGCGCCAGCAGTCGATCGGCCAAGCACGCGCTCGAGCGATCGCGTGAAATTTCGTATATTCTGCTGAACGAACGGACGGAAGCGAAAGTGTCGTACTTTCGCGTATACCATTCTACGTACGTATCCCTCGCTCCGCATTGTCCCACAAAACGATTCGAACGTCAAGCACGCAGTCCTGCATTATGCAAACGACGAGGACTCGCGCAGATCGGACCCGAATCCTTTATGACGTTGAAGTCGATTTAACGCGTGATATATGTACAAGTTGGCCGAACGATCTAATTGTCATCGAACGGTGTACTTAAAGAAGCATCCCAAAAGCTAATTTTGGCGGCGACTGCATGCATATCATTCTTATCGCTCGCGAACATACCTATGTATACGAATAATCGGAAAAACTAATCGATAAAAAATTCCGCGTAAGAGGAAGCGATATTGTATAATAATAAAAATTTTGTATATAATTTCGCAATAAAAACCGGTGAGTTTACCGAGCATATTTCAGATGCCACGGTACTTGGTCATGTATTTCCATGCTGATTCATACTGATTTTTATTTATATCCAAGCAATATGATATCAGATTTAAAATTTCACAAGCGTCGATTGAACCGAAAATGTAACGATAATATGTTACATGAAACAAAATTAACATAAAAATATCATAAATTATATATATTGTACATATAAAAATGTTATGTTAACTGTTATACATTTGCGTACAACACAACGCGCTTGACACGCACATTACGTGCTTACGTGACCGGAGATTTCCGGAAATCGAGTGCCACATCCGGCAAGCCTGGCATTCCTTTCTTCCCGCCGGCGAACGCGACTTAAGGATTCTTTCGACTGACGACTTTCTTGTGCGTTCAATTCATTGTTCGATATGGACAGAACGTTTTCGAAAGAATATATTGACTATTAATTTAGCCTTTTTTTTTGCATTTTCTTACATTAGCGAAAATTTAATTTTCGCCGATAATCTTATATTCTTTATTTTTTTTTTGTAATTACAGTCTTAAGCTGTTTGGTAGACAAAGCGTAGAATCGCAGGAATGCGACAGTAGATTGCAATTTATGAAGTGAATATTATGAGGATAAAGTAAGAAACTTCCGAAATAAACTGGCTTAAAAAAATCAGTCTTTTATTTATATATAAAACTTAAGGAGAAAAAAGTATATTATCTTTTTTAAGAATCACACACATTCACATTTTCTTTAAAAAAAAATTGCTACAAAAATAATAGTGCAAAAGTTTCTCAACAGAATAAAAACCTTATTACTTAACATACTTTAAAATTCTGCTCCTTCCGTTTTTCTAAACCTTGTATAATTCAAAAATAACAAATATAAATAGACGATTGATATGGCGCATAATATCCTCTCGCGCATCACTTTGTATATCGTATTTCTTTAATTAAGTGTGATATAAGTCGGGAGTTCGGTTGTAGACCAATTTTTATGCCCGAGATTACCGATCGATTTAGCACGTGTGCGGGATGCGGAAGTATGTGTACAGATTTCATCCGTGAATTCGAAGAAATCAGCGAGTAGTCGGCGTGATTTATCGACTTCAAGAAACTCCGTATAGATTTTTTTGGCAACAAAATTTTAATTTTTTTTTTATTGCGGGCATTGCTAAGTAAATAGTACCCGCTTTAAGTGACTTAACTGAAAAATATATCGTAAAAAAGATATATCGAAAATATTATAAATTTGTAGTTATATTATACTGACCAGCAACTAGAGTTTCACCTAAACAGAATTTATTTTACTCAGTCTCGTTGGGTAGTTACTATCTAATAAAACAAATCGCACAACTGACTAGTTTCCAATTTTTGATCAATTGAGTATTGTAGAAATGCCTAATTCTTTCACTTGGTATTTCTTTTACTTGGTATTATTACATATGTAACAAGAATTATACTTATAAGCGTTACTTTGCACAATATTTTTATTCTCTTTTTTCACTCTGTTCCAGGTTTACTAAACCCCAAACATTCGCGGATTGTATCGGGAACGAACTTCCCCTCGGCTGGGAGGAAGCCTACGATAAACACGTGGGCGCTTACTACATCAATCATGTCAATCGTAAGTTTTAATTCTGCTTCTACTATCTGGTCGAGAAAGTGTAGAGAGAGCATGGCCGGATACTTATCATACGAGAAGTGATTTTATTCGAAATTTTATATCACATATTTGTGCCACAACTTGCGCGCGCGTATACGCGTAGATCTATGCATGTGTTTCCTTGTCTGATTACGCTTAATGCCTTCGATCGAGAGGGGGAGACAGTTAGAGAATTTGCAGAAATAGCAAATGTTTAAAAATAAATTAAAGAGTGTAATATAGCATCAATTGCGATTCAAGATTCTTGAAACGGGAAACGTTTTATTTGTCGCGTTTTAAATACTAATTTTATTTAAAATGTTATTACATTGTTTTAATTAAAATTTAGATGCTATTAATAGTAATTGTTATATTAATTATATTTATCTTGTATATATTAATATAATTGTATTAATAATACTAATTGTAATAATAATAGTAATAATATCCATTCCTTCTTAAAAATATTCGCTAAGAATGTCTTAAGTAAACCGATAATTAAGAGAAAAGGTCTTCGTTTTAAACATGTCATTGGATTTAATATCCGCAGAGACAACTCAACTGGAAGATCCAAGGCAGGAATGGCGAGCCATTCAAGAGGCTATGCTTCGCGAGTATATGCAGACCGCACATGACGTACTCGAGGTGAGTACAGAAAACAATTGATCATAAATTTTTTGCTTAAATTGCCATTTGTAAAAGCTGAATTGATCCGTTAATTCGTCCCCGTCGTGTCGATGAACCTCACTCTATCGAGATTAAAACGGACGAGCGAAAGAGCGAGGGGGAGAAAACTGGTGGAATTTCAACGAGGGTCGACGAGGGCGGCAGGAAGTCAATCCGTGAGAAATCATGTTACTTCCGGTCATTCGGCGTACCCTCGTATACCATGCGCGCGACGGCGTAGATTAACACGCGATTAACCGCGTTCCGTCCCCCTGCATATATCCCGGTAGGATGTGCACATTATATGCACGTATACATACACACGCAGATTAACGTATGATGCCATTCGGAAACTAAGGTATATTTTTTTCGTGATCACGTGATTTGCATTTTGTGTTTGTTGAGAAGAATTCTCGAAAGTCGAAGGCGAAACTGACGTTTTTTACACTGTAACTTTTAAATATTATTTATATTATTATTATTAATACAATTATATTTTAATATTAGTATCTTATTTTATTCTAATTCCTCATTTATTGAGAAACTATATATAAAGTCTGTGTGTATATCGTATGTATATACCATATACAATCGTGTATACATATATCCCGTCGCGTTATCGCGAGGCTAGAGATTTCTTCTGTGATACATAGTTTAAATGATCGCGTCAGGCAGCAGCTAATTCCGAATGTTCGCGAGCGAAGAGACGTACTTTGGTATTCCGTCGTTGACGCCAGTCTGGACCCACGCCGGAATGCTCTTACGTCACACGCGGCTGCGTTACGAATTTTTGATGGAATGTGCACCAGGTGTGGGGGGGGGGGAGGGGGGGAGGAAAGGAAGGAGGAGTACCGGCTTTAATCCGAGAGCAAACGAAAGATACGATAATAATATTTATCGGCGGCGGCGACGACGGCGGCGACGACGACGACGACGACGACGACGGCGACGACGACGACGGCGACGACGACGACGGCGACGACGACGACGACGACGACGACGCGGGTTCCGGGCGGGCGGGGAGGAATGTCGATGTACGGTATATTTATTTCGGGCGAAATACTGCGGCCATGATGTCATCGTCGATTTTCGAGAGATTGCCTATGTGGCTGGGGCCGCGCGATTCTAGTTTCGGGATCCCTCGCGTCCAAAAGCCCCTCTCGTCTCCCGCCGCCGCTGTCGTCGTCGTCGTCTCGTCGTCTCGTCGTCGACAGCTGCTCTCTCGCCGTGACGTACGGCGTGAAATTCGCATGATCTCGAAGATGGAAGATATTTTAGCCGATTGCACAAGAAATATTCTACATTTTCCTTTTTTCTTGTGTACTTAAATCTTCGTACTTGGATTTTTTGGAAAAAATATGGTATACATGAAAGATTTTGAAAAATAGGGATAAATTTTTTGTATCGGAATAGTATAGTTACACTTTCATGAATAGATATTAATTAACATTTAATACTGAATTTATATATATTTATAGTAACATATTTATGAAAATATAATTAATAAAATATATTTGTATGTAATATATTAATTTTTTAATAGTATATCGTCTGAAATAAAAAAGGGGGAACTAAATGTTAAATATCTGTAGATATAAATGTTTATAAATTTAAAAACAGACGTTTGCATTTAAAGTTTTCTTAGTATTGAAATAAAAGTACATAATTCTTTCATTGTGATATAAGAGAAGAAATGCGTAAATAAGGAAGCAAGCAAAAAAAATATAGACTAGGAAAAATATAGACTAGGAAATTCGCAGAATCCCTGTAGTGGGAAATATGTAATAATTGGATGCATTGTAGAAAATACAAGCTGACACAGTCAAGCAGACGACTTATTATTCACAAGCTTTTCTTCTTAAGAAGAATACTTCCTTTTCGAGCGAGAATACCTATTGTTAATGGTGATAAAAAGACTGAAGTTGAAATCTTTCACGAGCACTATATTCAATGTTTAAACCAAAAAACCAGCAATTCTTCAGGTTTACGCTGGAAAATTAATGCAATCAGTCTCAACCTACGAAGGCAATATTAAAGAAAGAGAAAAGAAATTCGCGTAACTAGTTTAAGAAGGGATCTATGTCTAAAAAAAGAATTGAGAGAGAGAGAGAGAGAATATTTTAATGTTCTCTCCGTCAAGAGGCTAAGAGGAAATATAAAGAAATTGGAATTTTATTTTAAAGTTGGATCTTTCTTGAAATGTCCAAGTATGACGAAATTTCGATTGCTTTCGCATTCGACGTTTTTACATAAATACAAGAAAACAGATCAACGTTAATCAATAAATAAATTTCAGAGTCGAAGTTGTCTCGATCTCTAACGAAAATTGGATGAAAGAAAATGGAATACGAATGAAATCTATCGTTCTAAATTTTTGTAGTTTTCTGAGGGAGTAGGAATTCTGTCTCCAAAAAGAATTATGTCACAATCTTAAAATTTCGATATATATAAAGGAGAGAAGTTAAATCGTCATGCTAATATCTTTTATACCGGATAAGGCATATTTGTCCTCTTAAATTGGGCGAATTTCACGCTGTGCAACCACGCGGCAAAGTTCGCAGACTAAACTGTTTCTCGCGTTTACGCATGCTGCGTCTACCTTTTTTCGTGAAGAAAGTTCAAAAGAAACAAGTCCGGTCTTTTATAAGTTTATCTGAATAAATTTCTAGCAGTTTATACTTACAATAAATAATAAATAATTTAATGACTTTTTTACGGTTTTAATTGAAATTAGCAATTCTTTTTTTAACTTTAAAATCACAAATGTATTTTTTATATACGCAAACTACAACTTGAATACTTTTATACCTAATTCTAGAAAAATGTATATTTTTCGACAATTTTTTTCCAGGAGAACATTAGTAGAAGTGATGATTAAAACTTAAGTTTATTTGCTAAATTACGAAATATAAGCAAAGAAATTATTTTTTAAATTAATTTGTTACAATTTTATAAATTTAATTTGTTTATTCTTTTACGTGACATTAGCAATCTTGAAATTTCTAAAGTATAGGACTTAAGTATTCGCCGAATCTCTCGCAGACTCACTTTTGTAGATGTATTATAAGGTTAAGCAACTTGAGACCGCTGACCGTATAATACTTAATAATTTATCGTTGTGTCATTGATCCATTAACCAGTTTATTAAGTTTCTAGCATCTACAAAATTCACCGCGTTTCGAGCGCAAACACGTTTATTGGGGTAAACATGTTTACGCGGGAATGGTATAGTGCGTGTATCCTCGACGATGGATACATCCTTTCGCGTCACAAATTAACAAGCAACGCGGTATAATCCTCGCGTGCGTATGTATGCGTGGGAAATAAGATATCCAAACCCAGATCGTTGCTAAGAGATAATGTGTGGGTTCTTACATTTTTAAAATTCTTGAAATATTCTGACAAGTACAACGCCCCCATCAAGGATACACAATCGCGATACAACCGTAGAAAAAATTTTCCTCTTACATATTTCTCAAAGCTTGAATAAAAATTGTAGATTGTCGCTCGATTTCGAAAAGCATTTTTATAAATAATTGAAGAATTTTTTGCGTTGTATTATAGAGCGAAATTGTTGCAATTTTAAAATGTTATGATGAAACTTATTCCATAGAGATTTATCTATATTATTTATTTGTTATTTATTTTTTAGCACCGGCTGCGGTGAAACAAGTAGCCATTACATTGAATTAAATAGAGATAATTAATGACTATATATGCGGTATAGACAGATAATCTTTATTTTCCATCAATGCGAATCTCTACTAACGAACCCTTTCATTCTTTGGGGAAATGCGCGGCAAACTTTTCCGCGGAAGCATATTCGCACGTGAAATCACGGCGCCTGGGAGTAGTTTCACGTGAGGGACTCGGAGGAACTTTGCGGCTTCCTTCCTTGGGAGTTTCACGCGTATACGTACGCGTCATACGCACACAATGCGTGCGTGCGTGCATGCACACTCTCGCGCGCGAACGCGCGAGCGTAACGCGGAGAGTCGAGGCTTGCATTCCGATGCAAATAGCCCTCTCCGCCGTCCGTTCTCTTCTCTCTTTCTCTTATTTCGCTCTTCTCGTCTTCTCCCCGGCATCGTGCCGAGGCTCTCCGCGCTCGTCCAGCGACGGATAAACCGTGGGTCAGTAGCGTCTCATTGCGACTCGGCGCCGCGATGCGCCGATACGATGGAAAATTTACCCTTTTGATAGCGCAAAAACGATGTTTTTACTACCGGTGTGAAAACCTATATACATATTATTATCATCAGTATTATGCAATTATTACATTGGCTTCTTGATTCACTTGACTTTTTCCAATTTGACGGATTATTATGCACACTTTTGCAAGAATTCATTAAATTTAGATATTTTAGATGAACATTTGCATTTTAGGCACATTGTCTCAATGTATGTATATGTATTTTATTGTAAATATTACTATCTGTTGTAGTTTGTGTATATGTTTTTGATTTTACATAAATAGAAAGTTAGAAACTCTCTGAAGGAATTGCATAGATGTTAATGATTCGAATGTCACCGATATATTCGAATCAATTTGCACGTAACATTGAAATTGTTCTCATGCGAAACGCATATAAGTCAAACGAATATCTGCACGTGATACTTTTGTGCAGCATAATAAATCAATGATATCTGAGTCAACACGGCGTCATTGAATTTATGATCGGACTGGGGACGAAACACATTTCGCGTGACTTATATTTAACCATCTTATATATTTCCTTTATTTGTGACATCGTGGAAATTTCTAAAATTTACGATTTGTAATCTTTTAAATTAAAAATAATGTAGGTATACTTTCCACTCTTTCTTTTTCTTATTACGAGATTTATCGGATAATTTATCTTTTATTTAGTTCTTGTAACTATATTTTTTCATGATTTATCCCCTCCCTCGCTGTCGAAACATGAATTGTTATATAGAAGATTTATTATATCTATAAAATACAAAAAAAAAATTATTCG